TCATAATAACCATGTTTAAGCAAACATTTTCAAAAGTACATCAAAATAAGCTAAACGCGTCATCGCCAAAATAATCAAATTGATTGACTAGAAACACAAAATAAGGTTTTACCTCATCATAATAAAATTGTGTTTCGTCAATGTTGTGTAAAAAGAAAAAAAAAACATAAATCAAAAGAAGCCCATAGAAACCAAATGCCAAAAAAAGAGGGCAATTAACTAGTAGGAAACCCATTCAAGAGGGCTACACAAAAATTAGGGTTGACCCCCTAGGAAACCCGAACAAAAATAAAGGGTAGCCTAGGCAGAAGTTAGGGTTACAAAATAAAGTCCGCTAGGATTCCCAAAACAAGAAAAGAGAAAATCTAGACAAAAGTCAGGACCAAAACACAATATCCTAGTCTGAAAACCCAAAGGGCAGTTTGGGAAAGTTAATCAGTCATAAGAAAGCAATAAGAAATCGGCTAGACGCAGATCCTAAAACACTTTGGTCAACCCTAGCCAGCCATTCTTACAAAATCCCTTTCAAAATAATAACCTTCTAAAACACAAGCCCTTGAATAAATTATCCTCTTACTTCTCTTCTCTTGACCCTTATCACAATATTTTGGTAATTAGTGGGAGAATATGGAGACATATAATCAATAAGAAGATTGAAACCTCCAGAGAAAGGAAAAATCACACCGACATGACAAGTTTGCTCCTTAGTCAACAATTTTTCTTCAGTCATAGCAAGTCTGGAATGGTACAAAAAAAATACAGCTAAAGAACGACATCAGAAGGGCCTCGTCTTGAAAAGATGCATCAGTTAATCCTTCTGAAAAGTTAACTAAATAGCATTATAGGACACATAACATGAAAACATTACATGCATAGATGTTCGTGAATAGGGTCCTATATTCCCTTAAAAAAAAAGTTAGAAAAACCCAGATGTCGTCTCGTTTGGCAAGACCACCGTTTCGTCATTCACTGAAATCGAGACCACCATCTCATTTGGCGAGACCATCGTCTCACCATTCGCCAAAGACGAGACCGTTGTCTCGCCATGTCGCGAAGCGCAAGACCACCCTCTCGATATTCTAGACGGTGGTCCCGAACACCGAAAAAATGAGATGGTCGTCCCAAATCTCGGACGGCCGTCCCGACCCTGGGGGAGATTTTCTATATATATGGGCTTTTGGGTCATTTCCAAAGCATCTCATTCATGCATCCTCACCTCATTTCTCATACATCTTCATACAACATGAGTGTTTCTGAGCAAAATGCAACAAGGCGAGTCTTCCAGGCCTAGGAAGCGAGGTCGGGGATTCGACCAGGGTACTCCAGCTCCGCAGGCCCGACCAGATCCAGCTTAGCTCACGCCATAGCATCAGGCCAGACTTGATCATATTAGGGGCTACACCTGGTACCCCTTGCTGCGTCTAGATTTCAGCATCCTGACCAATTTCGATTGGGACAAGGATGTGAGGGACTACCTCCATGGTATTGGATGAGACTTTCTCCTCCAGGCCCCTCCTACCCGCATCTTCTGGGAGGCTACGATGGAGTTTCTAGCCTTTTTCACGATGGTGGACATGCTGACCTTGTTCCCGGGTGTCCCTCCAGCGAGGGTGGTCTCGTATTTCATGAATGGGACCTATAGGACGATGACGTTGGATGAGTTCAATGTCATCATGGGCTTTAGCCAACCTGCCGATACCCTGAACCCATAGTATTAGGGAGCTATTTGTGAGTGGCCAGCTACCCTCACAAACGGTGAGATTTGGGAGGATCTCACCGGATCACAGATCCTGCCAGCCCAGATGAGGGGGTCGACCCTTAGTCCTCCTCTCCGTATATGCCACAAGCTGTTGGTAGGGATAGTACACGGGCAGAAAGAGAGTCGAGGTAAGATCACCAAACCTGATCTCTTCATCCTCCATTGCATGCTCCACAGGCGCAGGTGCAACCCGGGCTACTTCTTCCTAAGGGCGCTAAAGGCTTTTGGGAATCTCCCTACAGGAGCCATCCTCGTAGCTCCCCTCATCACCCCGCTGGCCGAGAGATGGGGATGCGCCAATGGGGAGGACATACCCTCTACCCTCCGACCCGAGCCTATTAGTGGGTCCATGCTCGTCAGCATGGGCATGCTCATTAGGAAAGGATCCGAGTTGGTACTCCACCCGGCACTCGTCATGACCTTGGACATCCGGGACCTGGATGAGTCGGATGATATCCCCATGCCCCCAGGATTCGAGCAGCAGCAGTAGTATGAGGATAACATTCCCGGTGTCCACCGCCACATAGATGACGTACGCCAGCAGCTGGACCAGATGTCCCTGAGGCAAGATGTTTTCGAGACACGACTGGAGATTGTCAGCCAAAGGCAAGAGGGAGTTATCCAGAGCTTGGACGCGATCAGCCAACACATGCTCAACATGATCCGGAGTCAAGAGGAGTTTCAGAGACATATGCTCCGATAGTTTCCTCCTCCATCGCCGTCTTCAACTTCATAGTCGGACCCGCCACCGCCTTAGGAGTATTGTTATATATATTTCATCTGTTTTACAAAAGCTTATGATATATAAATAATTTTTTTTAGCTATTTACCTTTACTCTCTTTCAAAAAGCCAGCGTATTAAAAAAAAGACTAAAAAGTAAAAAGGAATATGCATTATCCCAAAAAAACCAAAATTCAAAATTGCAAGAAAAAAGAATAAACCGCGAAAAAAAGGTGAAACTAAAAAGCTCCCAAGCATTAACCACCATTCTCCCATCAAAGAGAGAGAACAATCAAGCAAAACATCTGCCTGCTCAAAGGCGTGACAAAAATCAACAAATTCTCAATGGATTCCCGCCTTCATAAAAGGCATTCACAAAAAATCCCCGATAACCAACAAAGTCGGATGACTATTACAAAAAGCCCAAAAACAAAGAATTCCCCAGCACTCAACCAGCTGGAAGGGAACCAACGAATCCCCGAAAAACTGGAAGACTTCATCAGAAAAGTAAAAAACAATTTATCAAGCAAAAAACACTCCCCATGAAGACGACGCATGAGCCAGAGCAGTAAGCCGCCACCACAACTTCGTGACAAGGAAGTTCCCGAAGACAGAGACCTGCACATAGGCAAGATCAATGCGCATGAACAAAAATCAATAAGCCGCACCAGTCCTACAAAGTGGACTTCCAAACCAGATGGGGGTTCGTACTCATTTACCGAGGGGTCAGCTACCGCATAAAAGGAGCATCTCAAGGCTACAACAACTAGACAAGGGTTCGTACTCGCCAAACCAAATGAGTGTGCATACTCATCTAGTCCTACGAAGTGGGCTACAAGTTCTACAACAACCAGATGGGGGTTCGTACTCGGCAAACCAGATGAGGGTGTGTACTCATCCAGTCCTACAAAGTGGGCTACAAGTTCTACAACAACTAGACGGGGGTTCGTACTCGTCAAAACTAGATGGGGTGCGTACTCATCAAGCCTTACAAAAGGGGACTTAAACCAAATTTTACAACCAAAGGGGTCAGCTACCGCATCAAAGGAGCATCCGAAGGATCACATTCAACGTCCAGAAGGTCGACTACCACGACGAGGGAAGCAACCGAAGGACAACCAGGCAAGAGGGTCAACTCCTTCACCCTCCAGTCGATCTTTTGGCATATTGAGCCAAGGGTCAGCTAGTCAGGTGAAGGGGGTAGTTGTAGATCCCAAATCTTGTCCGACCTCAAAATAAAGAGCAGAAGACTTCTGATCGAAGATGGACAAGACCTTAAAGGTCCCTAGGATCGTTCAATAAGCTCCATATTAGAGTAGGAAGACTTTTTGTACACAAAAATAAGAAAATTCTACCCAGAAGACCGAGACCGCCATCTAGTTTGACGAAACCACCATCTCACCGTTGGCCAAAGGCGAGATGGCTGTCCCAAATATTGAGACGGCGATCCCAATCTGATGGGCACAAATTTCTATAAAAGGGGGGGTTCTCTCCTCGTTTTTCACAACTTCTGCAACTGAATATACCCTCCTATACTCTTCTAGAATCCCTCTGAAGCATTTCTAAAGTCTTAGGGTTCTTTTTATACATTCTAGAGTCCTTCGAGAGAAGAATGAGCTGCATTGTATAAAGTGGGGTTTGTCAAAAAGTGTCATTTACAAGAACATTTATAAAAGCTTGATTCGAAAGTTCCTCTATATCTCTTACTCTATTTTATCTCTTTTATTAGTTATCATCTCTATGCATTAGTTATTAGGGTCACGTAGTCAATTATTTAAATTTTGCAATAAATAAATAAGAGTAAAAACATGATTTCAAAGTTCTTATTTCTTTATAATAAAGAGTCCATCATAAAGAACCCGAAAAGGGCGTTATGGGAAAGCTAATACCTTTCCCACACGTAACTAAATCTCTTACCTAACTCTGGTTGTAATGACCAAAGTTGGTTTTTCTTAAAACCATCACCTTCTTTTCCTTTTCCAATATTTTTGGTAAAAATATTGGTGACGACTCCATAACCCACTTATGGAAACCTCGTCCTTAGAATAATTCGGTTATCAGACATCTTAAAGATGATGATCACACTTTTTAAAACATGAGTCAAATAAAAAGACAATCGCATCACTCCGACCGCCTCTTTTAAGGACGGCAACAACCACTGAACCGAACGCAGGGCCTTGAGCCCAAAAATCAAACATGAGGCCGAGAGCCCAAAAATAAAACGTGGGGCCGGGAGCCCATCACTCGAGTAAATAAATCGGATAAGAAAAATCCAAGGCAATGATAGACACAAATCCTAACTCTTGACCCATAAATCGCGACCCAACACCCATAGCGTTTGACCATAACCTATAATCCTAATGAAAAAAATCCGGCAACATAACGACAATAAACCTATCAACCTACGAAAATCCGGAAGCATAACCACAACAAATGGAACTCAAACCAAAGGACTAATGTCCTTAACAGATATCAATCAAAACGCAAGGACCCACGACCCATAACAGATATGATCCAACAATGAAGAAAGGATGGGAAAATCTAACAATTAAAATAGGCAAAATACAAACTGAATCAAACTACAATGTGTACAAAAATAATAATCAACCAGAAGGGTTAAAAGGAAAAGAAAAAGGAAAGAAGACAGAAGGAGTCTCAAGGGTCTACGGGGGAGGGGGAACTCGCAGTGGCCCAAAAGCAGGGCCCGCGGTGGTCGTTAACGTAGCGACCTGGGACCCCAGCGAGGCACTTCGCAACATTGTTGGCTTGGTGCGGCGGTCAAGAGGGGAGGAGAAGATTGGAAAAGGGACGATCGCGGTGGTTGCAGGCAGGATTGGGATTTAGCTGCGACGAGATTCAAAGGGGATAAAGATCGGCTGTGGTGAGGGATTAGTGGCGCGACCAGAAGTTGGCTGTGCGACATGACTAGGGCTTGGGTGGTGTACGACGACTGGGTTGTAGTGAGTGGGGGGTGCTTGCGGCGCGGCCAAAGCCTGTGATGGCTGGTCGCACGATAATTTGGGTGGCCCACGGTGGTAGAATGTGCGTGGTCAGGATTTGAGGGTGGAGGTGGCGCGAGCCCCGCTGGCAGAAGTTGGCTGGGGTGATTCGAGGTCGGTTGGGGTCACCACGGTGGTGGCCAGGGAGGCGGTGATGGGCCGCGGGTGAGATGGAGATGCGGAGGGGTTAGGGCTAAGGTGGAGGCCGGTGGAGCGCCCAAAACCCGCGGTGGCTGGGTGATGACGATGGGTTTTGATAGGTGGCCTTAGGTGAGTAGCGACGCTGAAGCGGCAGTGACTGGGTGTAGCTTGGGTCAACGGAGGATGATTAAGGTGGAGAAGGGAAGGAGACGTGAGGCTGTGGCTGGTTTTGGGACCGTAGATGGTGGTGGGGTGGAGAAGGGAAGGAAAAGGAGGTAAAGATAGGTGAAGGAGCGGGGGAGCGTCAGTGAAGGTGTCCTAGGGTGAGGTCTCCAATGAGTGAGAAGGTGTATGCGAGAACAAGGGAACGAAAGAAATGAAAAAAAAAAAAAAAAAACAATGTGCCTTCTGAACTCAAGAACAAAATCAGATCAGAAAAAAATTATTACCTTCAAACACGTTAACCTATCTCCTAATTTCTCGCACGGCTCCCCAAAGAAATCCCCCTTACCCTATTTACCACTCTCTTATTTAAAGGCATCAATTAGGTTAAATTTTGTGACCTATAATAGGAAAATGGGCTGGGCCCAAAAGTAAATTTTAAAATTTTATCTAAAACTATTACTTAATTTTTCTTTTTTTTGTTATATATATATATATATATATATATATATATATATATATATATATATATATATATATATATATATATTTAAGTGCTTAAGAAAACATTTTTTTATCTTTTTTTTTAAAACAAACACTACTATTTATCATTATTATTATTTTATATCTACCCGGACAAAATTAAGTTGTATGGTCATAGTAAAAGATAAGTAAAGATAGAAGTAGTAATTTTGTTCGGGTTTAAAGGATTAGGACAAAAGAGGACGTAGGTTGCTTGTGGATAAGACCAACTAACAATCTGAAATATGACAAGAAACTAAAAAGGATATATAGATTGTCCATGGAAGGGACTGACCATCAATCTGAACTGCTTGAAAAAGAATATATAGATCGTCTGTGGAAGGGATTGACCGTCAATCCGAACTGTTTGAAGATGGATGTATAGATCGCCCGTGGAAGGGATTGACCGTTAATCCGAACTATTTGAAAAAGGATGTATAGATCGCCCGTGGAAGGGACTAACCGTCAATCCGAACTGCTTGAAAATGGATGTATAGATCGCCCGTGGAAGGGATTGACTTCAATCCGAACTATTTGGAAAAGGATGTATAGATCACCCGTGGAAGGGACTAATCGTCAATCCGAAATATTTGAAAATGGATGTATAGATCGCTCGTGGAAGGGACTGACTGTCAATCCGAACTGTTTGGAAATGGATGTATAGATCGCCCGTGGAAGGGACTGACCGTCAATCCAAACTGTTGGAAAATGGATGTTTGATTTTGCTAGGGAAAAGTAGACTTTTTAATGCAGATGTCGGGTACATTGGACTAAATGCAAGTGCCAAGCAGATGTTGGGCTTAAATGCAAATGTTGATATGAGAGATGAGGATGCGTATATGTCAAGCAAGTGGAGATGCATGGATGAATGCGCTGATTTGAATGCAAGCATTTTGAATTGATTATTCCCTTTGTAATCATCAAATCCATGAAAAGTTGTCGTTTTATTCACTTTAAAGAATGCAAGTGGGGGGACGTTGCAAATCTTGAAGCCCAATGCAATGACTGAAGTATGACCAAATCGACATTTTCCTTTGAAACATTGAAGAATCAGATGTCTGCTTGACTGGTCGTTTGGAGATATGGCTTGTTTGGAAAAGTTGGCAGGCTTGAAGCAAGTTGGCGATGATGTCAGGTTATGTAGGGAGGTTCCCCGAAAAAACTGCATGAGGTGGAGTTACAGAAACAGGCAATGTTGCTCTAGTTTCAAGTTGCGGGGAAGCTAAGTAACAAAAGGTTAGGGAGAAGTGTGGATTGCCCCCCCATTATAGCAGTGGTATGTAAAAGATGAACATGATTGCCCCTATTTTGATGGTTGAAGTGACAAAGAGGAAAAAATTGGCCCCAAGGTAACGGTAGGATAGTAGAAGGATTGCCCCATTCGATAGTTGTGTGAAGAAGATTGCCCTAGAAGGATGATGCGATAGGCAGGATTGACCCTCATTGGCGGTGGCATGGCAAAAGCGACAAGTTTGTCTCTTCACTTAGCTTATCGACTGTTTGATATAGTTCAAGAACTTTGCTTATTTTCTTTTTCTTTTGTTGTATGGCTTTTTTTTAGTAGTCATGTCGTTAGTCAAGAAATTTTATCATAGGATCAAGCGTTGCAAAAACCAGACAATCAATCCTTAATCAGCGTGGACTTTTATTTGGCTTGTAACGGGTCTATGGGTTAATGGTTATGAAAGAAAAGGGTATTATTAAGGCTCAAAATAGTATTTGCAGGTTATTTGAAACAAGGATTGTCAACCAATGTTTGATTTGTCCAACATTTTTCTTTTCTATATTCTTTTATTTATTCTTTTTTTCAAGATACTTTCAGATACTCTGGATTCATCCTATTTCTTGAAGGATGATTTGCTTTTCTTTTCTTTTGTGCTTTTCTTTTGTTTTCTTTTCTTCCTTTTTTGTTGAATGTCAACTGTTAAATGCACTTGGTGTAGCAATGAGTTGACTTTTGATATGAGAGATCCTTGCTTAAGGGTAATAAAGTAAAAAAATATTTTTCTTTGGCTCAAAAGGGGTAGCAAGGGATACTGTTTATATGTTTTTTTGGGATAAATAAACATGGTCACACATCACTTAAAATCATGATTGTCTTATCTTCACAAAGATTGATCGTATAACAAAATTCAATGACTTTCGACATGAATTGCCTTTTTATTATTTGTTTTCTTCGTCCTCCTTTTTTCCTAGACCGCCCTTGCGGGTTTTTAGTCTAGTGGACTTTCTTCCTATTTTTCATTTGTTTTTTTTTCACAGATAAGATAAACCCAGTGGAGTTACTTCAAAATGAGGTCACTTTATTTTGGGCGATGATGAATCTTACTGGAGCAAATCCGTTTATTTTAAGGAGGGATGGACGAGTTGAAGGGTTTTCAAACATCATGCTTACGATTACTTCAAAGAAAAATGTTAGCTTATTGTCTCTCATCAAGGCATTGGACCGAAGAAAGCGCGTAACATTCCCCACCATTATTCCTCTTTTTTTTTTAACATTTTATCAATTTTTAATTTTGAAAAATTATTTTAAAACATCATGAATTTGATGATTATTCAAAAGAAACAATTAACTCAACATGCAAATTTTTTGTTCATTTGTCATCATTTTTTATTATTTTTATTTTTTATTTGTGACACCCCTTTAGGACTCGCTTTGCCGAAGGTCGAATTATTGCATGCCTTGCGAAATAAACCCATGGTGATCATAGACAAATGTAAATTTTAAAGACACGGTGACAAGAAAAGATGGGATAAAGACAAACGTTGGGGTAAGACTGATGTTATTTATGAGGTAAATAATAGAAGCTAACTAGTCAAGTCAAGCCCCAACCTAATCACTGATAATAGACGATGTCAATAGGCTTCCCTAGGAACTTCCAGCATTACTGTTAAGCTTTCAGGCATAGAACTTCTTCACTGTGTCGGAGTTGACCGGCAGAGGCAACTCTTCCCCATTCATTCTGGTGAGGATCAGGGCTCCTCCGGAAAAAAGCTCTCTTTACCACATACAGTCCTTCATAGCTTGAGATCCAGTTCCCCCTATCCTTTTGAATTGGTAGGATTTTCTTCAATACTAAGTCACCCGCTTTGAATTCTCACGGAATGAATTTTTTATCGAAGACCTTTTCCATCCTCCTTTGGTAGAGTTGGCCAGGGCAGATAGCTGTTGTAGACCCCAAATCTTGCCTGACCTCAAAATAAGAACAGAAGACCTCCTATTCGAAGATGGACGAAGCCTAAGAAGCCACTAGGAGAGACTATTAGGCCCCATATTAGGATAGGAAGGATTTTTTGTATAAAATTAAGGATTTTCGCCTTCAGGAGTCGAGACCACCATCTCGCTTTTCGGGACCACCGTCTCACCATTGATACAAGTCGAGACGGCCGTCTCGTTTGGCGAGACGGCCGTCTCGCCACTTGCCAATGGCGAGACCCCCCTCCCGTTTGGCGAGAAGGCCTCTCTCGTCACTTGAAAAGTCGATACCGCTGTCTCGCCACTTTTGCAAGTCGAGACCGCCGTCCCGAATGACAAGACAGTCGTCTCGACCTTGTCAGTCGAGACGGCCGTCTCGACCTGACAGGCGCGAATCCCTATAAATAGTGAGTGCTCCCCCCCTCATTTCACACAGTTTTTCCACTTTCCCTTCTACAATTTCTTCAAATTCTCTTCCTAGAGTCCCTCTAAAGCATTTCCGGAGTTTCTGAGAGTCTTAGAGAGGTTTTTATAGCATTTCGAGAGAGTTTTCGGCGTTGTAAGAGCGAAGGGCTGCCAAAACACACCCTAATTTCAAGAAAATTAATCAAAAGCTTGTCTCGGAGGTTTCTTCATTCTCTCCCTCTCTTTTATTGTCTTTATTTTTATGATTAAATTGCGTAATAGACATTAGGGCTATGTAGTCACTATTTTAATTCCACAAATAAAAGGGTAAAAGCGTCTTTTCAAAAGTTCATTTATAAAATAGTTGGCCTGTCATAGAGAACCCGAAAGGGGCGTCGTAAGAGAACTAACACTTCTCTTACACGTAACTAACTCCCTTACCCAACTCTTGTTTTAATGACCAAAGTTGGTTTTTCGAAAAACCAACGCCTTTTTCCTCCTTTTTCGATGTTTCCGGTAAAAACATCGGTGGCGACTCCATAAGAACCCCTTCAAATTAGTTCTTAGGTTAGCCCGGTTATCGGACAACCTAAAGGCGTTGTAACCTCACCCATAAAACGCGAAAAATGGAAAAGTCGGAACCATCGCGTTGCTCCGACCGCCTCTTTTTGACGGCGGCGACAGATGGCGACTCCACTGGGGAAGCCTAGAGAGCTGATCCCATTTAGTGATGGGCCAACTTAATAAATAAACTAAGAAATTACGCTTTTACCCTACCTTATATTATAACATGTTTTAAATGCTTGGCTTTAATAACTGTTGTTTGTTTATGTTTACGCAATTGTTTGAAATACAAACTGTATACAAACCTTTGCACACAACAGTTCCCTCTATACCCGGGGGCAAGTGAGAAATCCATAGGGAGTGGGTGGCAGGTACGGTTCGCTGTAGTGATGGCCTTGAGCCCACCAATGTGATGGGAAACCACCACTCAAGGTGATAACCTTCCTCTTTTGGCACAAAGACTGACTATGGCCTTAGTGCTAAGCATGGTCGGAAGGCTGGAGAGTGGGGACCCTATAATGAGGGCACCTTGGGGGCCTTAGCCTTGGTGAGAACAGTTATAACCTACCTTCGCCAATGCACTTTTCTGCAAGAAAACCCTACCTCGTGATTAAAACGACTTCTCGCTAGTTCGCGGATGATTGAATTGTGTGCGCATTTGTTTGTTGCATTTGATTGCATAGCATAACCAAACAAAAAAATCACAAAAAACATTTTTTTGCAATAAACGCCCTTATCTCGGACAATCTTCCTTTTAGCTAGCCTGACTTCAGGTTCTTTGCAAGCTAAGTAGCCACGTAGTCCGACAGAAGAGATAAGGGACGCTAAACATTATTCTTTCGCAATAAGCCATTTTTATCTGGGACAGTCTGCCTTTTAGCTAGCCTAGTTTCAGGTTCTTTGTAAGCTAAGTAGCCACGCAGTTCAACAGAAGAGATAAAAGGCTCTAAAATAAAATCAAATAAAAACCCAAATCAAATAAAAATAAATGGGAGCTTGTTCATAAACATTACACTCATAAATCATTCATACGGAGTAGTTTATTTAATATATATATATATATATATATATATATATATATATATATATATACACAAATACCATACATCATGTAGAAATAAAACATGATAAATAGGAAAAATAAAACACTCACATTCATATATACAAATAAGCATCATATTCATAAAACATGCATTTTTGTTTTAGAAAATGGAGGGGACTAGTAGACAACTGAAGAAAGTGGACATTCCCCGATACCATACTGAAAAGTTAGAACGGCTTTGCACGATAATGTCACCAGAGGTCCGCTCTGACTTTGAAAAATCCTATGGATGGATCCTCGACCTGTTGAAGATCTGTGTCAATCCCATTTTTATCAGGGTTCTAGTTCATTTCTAGAACTCCAGTCTGCGCTGCTTCGAATTCCCGCAGTTCTATATGGTGCCCACTTTGGAGGAGTTTGAGATCATGCTAAAATGGCCCAAATCGTCCGGGGTCCA